ACCATTTTCATTCAAACAACTACATTCCACTCCCAGGCCCCTATAAACTTGTAGCCATGTCATAGTCAAAAACACATTTAGTCCAACTTCAAAAGTTCCCCCATAGTCTTTCACAGTCTCAACACTGTTGAGAAGGTTAAAGTCTCTTCTGAGACTCAAGGCAATCTCTTAACTATAACCCCTTGTAAAAATCAAAATCGATCACATACTTCCAATATACAGTGGCACAGAATACATATTAGCATTCCAGAATGTAGGGAAGGGAGCATAGACCAAAGCAAGACAAAAACCCAGCAGAGCAAACTCCAAATTCTGGCTCTCCATGTCTGATGTCAAAGTACTCTTCAGATCTGCAACTCCTTTCAGCCTTGTTGACTGCAACAGACTTCTTTGTCTTGGGCTGATTCCACACCGGTTCTATAGCTCACCTTGCAGATACCCCAGAACTCTGCCATCTCCAACATCCTGAAGTCTTCAACATAATCCAGGCTTTCATGCAGGGACTGCCCTGCTGAGCTTTGCCTCAGAAGCCTTAACTGCAGAGGAAGATTGTACAACCCCTTCCCTATATCCTTGACGGTAAAGCTAGGCCCCCTGACTGAAGCTGCCAAGTTCTTCTGCTTGCTGAGGTTAGAACCTGAGCCCCTCCTTGACGTGTTTTTGCCTAAGTTTTTCCTTGGTGAAGGTTTTCTCTGAGCCTTCAGCTTTCCATTAATTCTTTTACAAGTTGGAAGCTTAAATGGGTGGTTTTTTTTTTTTTTACTGAGAATACCTTTATTACTTTTTGAATTAGGCCTTTCCTTAAACTTTTTATCTCCTTGAGCACTGGACTTGGCTTCAATACTGCATTCCGTGGGGTTTCTTTTCTCCTCAAACTGTTCACCTCATATTTCTTTTTGAGATGTTTGCTGTTTTTCATGGTTGATCTTCATAAGAGTGATCACTAGTAACCATATGTAAAGTCAATATTAGGCTGTCTTGAGATCTCCTCTGCCACTAACACTAATCTAAAACTCTTCAATTTAGCCTCAGGCAGATATTTAGGACAAGGGCAAAAAGCAGCCACATTCTTTGCCTGAATATCACAAGAATGGCCTCTAGGCCACTTACTAATATTCTTCCCCTCTGAAACCTCTTGAGCCAGACCTGCATAGTCAAATCATCCAGAAGTCATCCATATTCCTCCAAACAGTAGTGAGTTTGGTCATGCTTATCACAGCACTACCCCTATCCCTGGTATAAACTTCTACCTAGTTACTGTTCTATTGCTGTGAAGAGACACCATGACCAAGCAAACTTATGTAAGAAGACATTTACCTGGGGGCTTACATACAGCTTCAGAGGTCTAGTCCACTAACATGGCAGGGAGCATGGCAACAGGCAGGCAGGTATGGTGCTGGAGAAGGAGCTGAGAGCTACATCCTGATCCACAAGCAGAGAGACGCTGAGACCAGTATGGGCTTTTGAAATCTTAAAGCCCACCCCCAGTGACAGGTCTCCAAGGCCACACCTTCTAATTCTTCCCAAACAGTTCATCAATAGAGAAATCACGTATACAAATACTCGAGCTTATGGGGGCCATTTGCATTCAAACAAGCACAGTGGACTTGCCTTTGCGGCCAGGACTCAATAAACTTCTATCTAAGTTGCTGCTCTCATACATTTTGTCATAGTAACAGAAAAAGTAGTACATATCCCAAAAACAAAAACAAAACAACAAAAAACCCAACTTATCTTTTAAAAATTGGCATTCTTAGTCATAAGCCTATACATTTTAGAAACGGCTTTCCCACACTTCAACCCATTAATTAAAAAAACATTTTTATTGGCAGTTTCATATATTTAAATAGTGAATTTGGTCATTTTTCATTCCCCATTCCCCACTCTTATTGCCCTCCCTAAATTCCCTCTTCCCAACATGCCCTTCTACTTTCAACCTTCTTTCTGTATGTGATTCACTGAATTTCACTAGATTTTTCTGTTTGACCAAGTATGAGTAAGAGATTTATTGGAACAAGGGAAATTTATTGGTGACTACACCATTGAAGAAAACAGCACCCATCCTCTATCAACTGTAAACTGCCAATAATCCCCTCAGTGAGAGTGGGGCCTTAAGACCCCTTCCCCCATATGTGATGAAATGTTAAACGGCCCAATCTTGTGCAGGCCTTAGGCTGATAAGCACAGTTGCAGTAAGTTACTAGGTACAATGGCTACGCCGTGTTCAGAAGATGATATTTTGCTGCACATCTCCCTATCGACTGACATTCTTTCCAATACCTCTTTTGCAGCATTCACTGAGCCTTGTGTAGTTGGGGCAGGGAGTGATATTATATCGATGGACCATTTAGGGCCAAGTACTTCATCATCAGTCTCATCTCTCTAAAATATTATAGATTTATCACCTTATTCCCACTACTGAACACAGTAGAACAGGAAAGATGGGACAGTTTTCCCATAGTTATACACCCAGGAGAACTACAGTGGTCTTCTGGCCTCCAAGCCCAGGACATTTTTCATACCATACTTTATGGCTACTCAGCTATAGAGAGATATTTGCCCCTAATAACCAACTAATTTTAATTGATATTCCTCTTATGGTTGTGTATAGTTTTCTAACTTCTACCAAGCCAAAAATTCCATGAGCACAGAAATCTTATCCCTTTATCATTTTACAGATGTCTTGATGCTGTCTTTTCCTTACTGTTTATAATTTTAAATGACTACAGTAGAGATCAGATTCTAAAATTTAGAAAATAGCCATGATGCTCTTCCTTCCTTATTATCCACTGGTTTGACTTAATCCCTTCCACGCTCAGTAATCTTAGCTAAATTAATAAATTCCCCTCTGCGTCAACAGTTATTTTTAAGCAAGCTAGAACAGTCTTTAGATAACACAGAAATCTCTGTACACATCTCATGGGCCAAAATAAAATATGTGGTCTCCAATCACACTCCATCTTTGCACTTTCATATGTTGTCCCTATTATTATACTTTATCTTTGAAGTCCATACCAGCTCCCTACTGCCTGTCTTTTTCCTTTGCTGTTAACTAATCATTCACTCATGAATGCAATTAACATTTTCTGAGTACTTACTGTCTACCAAAAACCAAGTTGCAAAGATTCATAAGACTTTGTCTCTGCCACCAGAGGATTTATATGCCATGAAGAAAAGCTGATGCATAAACAATTCATAATTAATGGAAGTGTTATGATAGAAGTACAGAAAGTACTATGGTCCTAAGAGTGATTCATTTTTCCTCGGGAGTTTGCTTATGGGAGTTCACATGCTAGAAAATGAACTCTCTCTTTGTAAACTAAATTGACTTACTTGAAATAAAAATAGCTTCCATTTGTAGCACTTTGCAGAATGTTTTTACATCCAATTCTTCCTTCAAGCTTCATAGTGAATGCTCAATAGTTTAGTGGGTTTCTAAATGTACTCATTAGAAACATAAGTATAAACAATATGGATGGTAATTCTAAAGCCCATAAGTAGATGCAAGCCAAACTGAAATAGGAGTCAGGTGTAGCCTCTCAGAGTCATTTCGGGAAGAACTAACAGCAAAGACCTGCTTCTTCCCCTTCATCATCAAGGCCATCCTCACAACCTTCTAGTTGGGGTTCCTCATTTATACAGCACCCCCTCCAAGCTATGTGTCACATTGGTCACAAAATAATTTTAAATACAGATTAGACCCTATCAGTTTCCTGCTAAAAGCCCTTTTCTTCTATAGATCCCCCTACTCCTTGTGTGATAAAATCTCGGTGTTCTTATGTAATACATAAGACTTTCAACTAAACCTATCAAGCTTCTTCAAACTACTTTTTGGTCATTCTTTTCCCATCCTACTCACTGTCTTTTTTCAAATACATCATACTATTTCCATTTCTGTACCTCTTTAGTCTTTGGTTTTCTATTACTCTCTCTAGTAAAACAATGGTGCACATAGAAAGTTTGGCTCTTTGGTTAATGGTTTTGTTGTTGTTGCTGCTGTTGTTTTAACTTAACAATAGCAGAATCTTGACAACAGAATTTTGGTTCTGTACTTTTCATAAATTATTACTACAATTACTGCAGCTTGGGAATCATTAGTATAGCAGCTTATTCTCTTAAAGTATCAGAAAGAGGCCATTCTTTCTTCATTATACATTAGAGACTCATGACATTTACATATATAACATAGAACACATATTCATTATGAGCATTCCCAGTGCCACAAGCTCCTACAGAACCAGCTGACACTAAATCAAAACAAGACATATAGCAGTCTACATACATCATATTCAAATAAGGTAAGTAAACAATAAAACAAATAAATCTTGTATATTGGTGATAAGAACAGTATTAAAGAAATAGAGGATTTCCCAAGAAAGGGGGTGTTTTGGAGTAGATGATTCATAAAGGTCTTCATAAGAAAGTCATAGATAAGACTGGCTGAGGCTGGAAGAAGAGTCATCAGGTTGGAAGAGCAGCAGAGAAAAGCTCTACATTGTGGGAAAGCATTAAGTACTCAGAAAACCTAGAGTCCGGTGTGGTATAGCACAGGGATTAAGGGGTCGAGTCACATTGGCTATGATAGAATTGGAAAAGCCTCAGAGGCTACAGAAAGGACGCTCTCAAAAGACTAGAAGCAGGTAGAAGACAAGCCTGGGCACAATGCTGGCTGCTGTTTGGAGAAGGAGCTTTAGGAAAGCAAGAGTGGAAGTGAGGGAACAATGAGGAAGATATCATAAGGGTCCTTCCCAGACAGATTGGGGGAGGGCTCTCAAGTGCTGGCAGAGAAAGTGGAGGGGTGAAAAAGGAATTTGAAACACAGCTTGGAGATAAATCCAACAAGTTGATTGTGCATGGTAAGAAAAATAATCAAGAGTGAGTTTTACCACTCTCGTATGAAACAAATGGACAGAGGACAGAGTCATTTACTGATATGGGAAAGACGGGAAGAAAATGGAGAGAAGCTGAGCCTCATTTTGGACATTTTATTTTTGGTGTGCCTATGAAACATTCAAGTGAAAAATCAATTGTGCAGTGGAAAAAATAAATATCAGTCCCAGAAGGACTAAGCTAAACGTGAAGACATAGGGGTTTGAAACACAAAGATGCAGTAATACATTGTGTTGTGTGATATTTTGTTTGTGTTCTGACAAATAAAGCTAGCTTGGAATCAGAGGGGAGAGCTAGCCACTAGTCAACCATAGTGGTCTGGAGGTCTGTACAGAGAGGAACAGTTAGTGACAAGGCTGGGCAGAGACTTGAAGGAAGCAACTCTGGAAGCTCTCCTGCTTCTCTGATCTTTCAGGTTTTACCCTGATATCTGACTCATGGTTTTATTGATAAGTTTAATTAAATGTATGCTTCAACACTGAGTGTACAACATGAGATGACATACACAAAGTTTCTCAGCACACAGCTGAATGTGTTCAAAAATTATTAAGCAGGGGCTGGGGAAATGGCTCAATGAATAAAGAGTTTGCCACAGAGGTGTGAGGACCTGAGTTCAATCCCCAGAAGCCATATAAAAACAAATAAAACTGGACAAGGTAGTGTGTGTCCACACTTGTTCACACAAACATGCACACAACCATCACACACACACACACACACACACACACACACACACACGCAAGTTGCTGTGGTTAGAGTGTTCTTTACACAGTCTAAGCTTAATCTTTTGAGTAAAGATTCTTATGTGTTCAATTCATTTTCTAATATTTTCATTCCAAAAGAATGACATGGTTAGTTACTTTCATGCTGTGGTGAGTGTGGGGGTGATGGTTAAGAAAATGGGTATGCTCTCTCCATATTCACCACCTTATGGTCTTGAGAAAATCATATGATCTCTTTGGTTTTCAGTTTTTCATATATAAAACATGAATGATTTTAACCTACCTGATGGCACTGTCATACAAAATGACAGTATTTGCAAAATGTGTAGCTCAATACCTAAGTAACTAATAAATTGTGTTTCTCAGTCTCAATAAATACTATACTCATCGGTGCAGTTTTTGAAAAACTGATGCTCAAGCTCCACCCAAATCAAGTAAATCAAAATTTCCTAAAGTGGGGCTTGATTCCATAACAACCTCTTTAAGCAGCCTATGGGACTCTAATGTATAACTAGTGTTAAGTAGTGCTAACCCATAATAAATAGCACATATAATATTATATAGTCATGTAGTGTTTGTGTATGTGTAAATTATATATGTATGCTGCAATGTGATGCCAATTAAACACATAGTCAACAAAGTTTAAAAATATAGCTATTTCTTGTAACATAAGATGACATGTTGGTTTTTCCAGGACATATATAAGACAGCATGGTTTATGTTAGGTGAAGTATCCGATATTCTTGAAGACTTCAGTCTCAGATACTATATAACAAACTCAAAGGAACCATAAAATCATGATGTCCATAAAGAAATGAGATGCTATGTTGAATTTTTTCCCATGGAGGTGGATTTTCAGGGTTGAATCCCTCTCTTCTCTGGCTCTTCGTCATTTCCAGCCCTCTTGAATGACCTTACTTATACCTATGTTCCATTCAAGCTGTCTGCCTTTACTCCCCAATGTGTCCTCTAGGGCCTGGGGTGAAGTCACTCTTTGGTACCTATATACCCCCTGACCTCTGCCCAGGGATCCATTTTATTCGTTTACTTTTTATTTTCACAGTGCTGGGGATCAAAGTCACAGCTTGTAGGTGCTTGGCAAGCACTCTCCCACTGAGTTATATTTCAGCTATTTATTTACTGTAAATATTTAATCATCAGAGCTTTGCATGGAGTTGGATAGTTTAACTTCATTGACTTGAAAGACAAAGAGGAGTGGCATCATTTGCATGGCATGTGGTTCACAGTGAGGGCACTGTCAGTTGGCAAGAAGGCATCAATAAGATCTGTAGTCTCTGGTTTTAGTAAGAGGTACAGGCAAGCCACCCAGCATAGACAGCATCCCATGAATCTATTTCCGAGGGAAAAATACCGCTGTAGGTTTCAAATGCATGGAAGATGGCTTCATAGATAAGAGCAAGCCACAAGACATGAAGACCTGAGTTCAGTCCCCAACACCCACATAAAACACCCATGCATACCTGTAATACCAGAGCTGGAAGTAGGGGTCAGAAATAGGAGGGTTCCTGGGGCTTGCAGGCAGTCTAGCCAAACTGGCATGTGCTACATCAGTGAGAGACCCTGTTTCAAAAAGTCATGTGGACAGTGACTGAGGATAATACTCGATGCCACAAAAAAAAAAAAAAAAAAAAAAAAAAAAACCCTGCTGTTAACCTCTGGCGGGCACGCGTGGGCACACATGCATATAGACAGAAATGAAGAAATGTAATTTAATAAAATGTTTTAATAATAATAAAGCATAGAACTCCTACAATCTATAGTCATTTTCAAACATTGTAGGCTCTCTTCTCCTGTTTCTTTTATAAATTTGTTCAATATTTCAAAATTTTTTAACTGCTACTTCTTCGAAGTCCTTACCGGTTTGGGGTTTTAACGCCAGGGAGTAAGGGCAGGAGCTCTGGTCACCAGCCCCACTGTGAGTCCCCTGCCCCTGGCAAACTGTCCCTGTGAAGTGAGGACAGCTGCAGTGTTAATCACAGAGATGCAAAGTGGGCTAAATGCCTCCGAGACAGAACAGGCAAATGTCAACCTTTTACATTACAAATTGTTAGCATAATGAGTGTTAGTGGTTATTAGTACAGGCAAATTTTACTCACTGCCCCTTTTCTCCCTTGATTCCTTGCTCTTTTGCTCAGCACTAAGAATGCAGGCACCTCTGCCTTAGTTCCAACAACCCGACTTACGATAGAAGTTAACAGACAAGGTACGCTGGCCACATGGAGTGTGTAATTTCTCCTTCTACGTAAGCAACCAAATCTACACTTACAAAGCAGGACCTTTCTCTTCCTTGAATCCTCATCGGTATCAGCAGCTTCATGGTCTCTATCAGCAATGGAGAAACTTGGCAAGCCAGCCAATCTTGCATAATGTCAGAGAAACTGGCAAAACAGACCTTCCTAAGGTGAATAAATTTCAACCAAGGCTATATCTACTTACAGGATTTTTTTTTCTAAGCTCGAATGAGGTGAACACAAGGGTAGAACTTATTATCAATCTCATTTTTGATTCCTTTAAAAACTTTTGTGAGGCTTTCCTCTCCAAAAATAATAATAATAATAAAGCCTATGTGTGGTTGTAGGTTAAATTTCTACAGAAGTTCAGAATCTGTCACTCTTATTTCCATTTGCCTATTAAGATGCCAGAGCTTATCCACTCCAGTAAATGAACTACAGAGGGCTCCAGGCTGAGGCCTGCAAGCTTCAGAGGCCTGCAAGCTTCAGAGTGACTCCTGGCATTGTGCCTAGGGAAGCATTCCAGGCTATGTCCCCAGCAAGGATGAATGAATAACCGGTTAACACACTATCTTTGATTTACATGCACAATCAACAAGCCAATCATTTTTACATGTGGGTTGTGCCTGGATTTCAAGTGCTCTTATTAATAAAAGAGACCATGTTAGAATTCACATGCAATGTTGACAGGACACTTGGAGTCTTGCTAGAATGCAGCTCCTAATCCCTAAGGAAACATGTCTGCTAGTCAAGAGTTCTTCCTGCCTTTTCCAGAGCTCCTCTCAGAAGATTCTCACCAGCCTGTAACCCAAGCAGGATGGAACAGAAGTGACAAGGCTAAACAGTTGTGAAACCAGAGTCACATGACTGTAACTCCAAAATTGGAAGATTGGGCACTTACAAACCATGTGTCTTCATGAATTAATTTCAGCTCTCATTAATCAAACAATGGTAGTAATGCTGCCTCTTGTTCCGTCTAACAGTCACTTTGAAGGCATCAGCATCTTTAAGAAAGTAAAGTCACTTCCACCAAGTGGAAGTCACTCTGACTCCTCCATTGCATTAAACTTATTGCATAGCTGCCTATATAGTCTTTGGTATCACATGGCCTGCTGTTAGAATTAGGATCCGTAAGGTTTAGTTGTGACCTTGAACAAGTTCAGGATACAGATAATAGCATCCACCCACTTTGAGACATATGAAGGACAGAGTAGAGGGCCACCTGTGTAGCACTGAGCATGAAGCCTCGAACCTGGGGATCACTCTATGAAAGCTGGGGTATGAACCAGAAAGGAACACTGAAGATGCCAAAGAATATGTTCTAGTTCCTGCCTTTAGAGCTCAATTGGGTCAGTGGTAGGTGGCAGAGAGAAGCAAATGTTACAATCACAATAATTGAAATAAGATACAAAGTGCTTCATCCAACTAACTAGGACATACGCCTGTCCTTCATTTTTGTATGATCAGTGCTTAATCGAATACCAGACAAGAAGATAATGAAGAAAAGCTTGCAGAATGTAATTACTGCTGTGTATGAACCCTGACACCATGCTGAACTCTCTTAAGCACTCTTGGTTTAGTCCTTCCTTAATTTTTTGAGATCTTACAAAACTAAAACTAGCTGCCTATGACTGTCTTCTCCAGACAGAACTATAGATATGATGTCTTCCTTCTCTTTTCCCCATGGCCACCAAGTCCCAGTTCTCTCTACCTAACCAACCAATGAGCTAGCCTAGCCAGGGGAAAACATGGCTCCAGGGTTCTTCTTCCCTTGGTATTAAGTACATAATACATTGTCATCATTCAGAACATCTCATTCATTCATTCATTCATTCATTCATTTATTCAATTATGAAAGAAATATTGGGCTGAAAATAAAGCAATAAATAAAGAAGGCAACTAGATATTTTTACTGCCTTAATCCTAAGACTTTTAGTTATTTCTCTTACAAATTACCTGAAGAAATTTTAGATATTTTAAAAACAGTTGTGTTTTTTCAATACTTTCAAACAAATGCACTTTAAGTCATCTAAAAATACAAGAAGTGCTACAAAAGATATAATTTTCTCTACATATGCAACATTGTTACTTCAAATGAATTTAATGGATCTTTCTAAATGTATCCAATGACACATAACTATTTCATATCCATGAGTACTTGTTAAAAATAGGAAATTATTCTTTTTTAAAATTTGGAAATTTTAAATCTTCTGTATTTTTCTCCTTGATCTCACATCTGCATTTTATTTTCCCCTAGGTTATACAAATATATGCAAATATATATAGCTTCATATTTAGGTCATTTCATGAAGGATGAATATCATATGAACATATGTGACTGGAAAAACAGGCAGATCACACTTTCTTCCAGAAAACTTCTGAAATTTCAATTTAAATAAATGTGTTGATTGGTATTGCAAGAAACATAAAACGTTGATAAATAAGTTACAAAATGAATCCTGACAGATCATAAAGAGGTCGGAATTAAAATAATGCAGATCTAATGAAACACTACACTTTACTGATTATACAAACAAAATATGTCATCACGGCAGTATTCATTAACTAATTTGTGAATAGCAGTGGATGTATGGTCTATGAAATGATGGCTATTGTCAGTCTTCTCATAGAAAAAATTAGATCCCTCTCCATTCAAAGGTATAAAATGCCAAAACAGAGCAAACATGCTTCACCTATACGACATCTCCAAAGGGCACTAGCTTCAAAGATATACGTGGAGAATCAAAAAATAGAAGACAGAATCCATATAAAATAGAATCTGAAAGAGCTAAACTGGCTCTATTAGTATTGCATGAAATAGATTTTAAGACAAACTTGTTATTAGAAACAAAAGACCTACCGGGAGGCAGTGGCACACACCTTTAATCCCAGCACTCAGGCAGCAGAGCCAGGTAGATCTCTGTGTGTTCAAGGCCAGCCTGGTCTACAGAGTGATATCCAGGACAGGCACCAAAACTACACAGAGAAATCCTGTCTCAAAAAATCAAAAACCAAACAACAACAACAACAACAACAAAAGACCTAAGAGTAAGTGGGTCAGTCCACCAAGAAGCCAAAGCAACAGACCTAATGGAGTTAAGAGAAGTTTTCAAAAATATGAACTGAAATTCATAATTTAAGTTAAAAATAATAATTTGATAATATTTGGAAACATCAGTGGCTCATTTTCCTTAATAAATACAATAAGAAAGACCAAAGAAATGAAAAACTTGAAATCAACTAGTTATAACATTGATGGGACACTCTAATCAGTAATAATATATCACAGTATTCTCAAATTTCACAGGAGGAAAAACAATTGCCATATGGTAAGAGGCCATGAACAACAACACATAGTACATTCTTCAACTACAGTGGAATAACTTATAATAATTCTGGGGGTCACAACTATGTGACAAACAAAATATTCCTAAATACAAGTGATTCAAAAATAAATGAGGCAAATTATAAAATAATTTGAGGCAAGTGAACCCCTCCTAAAACTCATGAGACTTGGTTACAGCATCATTGGAGGGGATTATGGTTATAATGCTTATTATGTAATATTAATAACCCATATACCCACCTTGCCAAACTAGCAAAAGAAGAATGAAGCACAAATAAGGTGAGCGGAAGGAAGAACTAATGAGGGTTAGGGTACAAAAGAATGAAACAAAGGATATAATGCCAATAGCAAGGATTTATAAAGCCAAGAGTTTGGTTTTTGAAAAAACTAAGTAAAATTGATGAACTGTCACCTGGGCTATGAATGATGTGCTGGCTATTTTTTTATGTCAACTTGACACAAGGTGTAGTCATCAGGAAGAAGGAATCTTTGAGAAAATGAACTCTATAGGCTTGACTTATACGCTATAGGCTTGGGACATCTGTGGAACATTTTCTTGAATGATGATTGATGTGGAAGGGTCCCACCCAATTGTGGACAGTGCCACTCTGAGTAGGTAGTACTGGGATATATAAGAAAATAAAACAGAGCAAGGCAGTAAGCAATCTTTCTGCTTCAGTTCTTGCTCCCAAGTTCCTGCCTTGAATTCCTGCTCTGACTTCCCCCAGTGATGGAATGTGACCTGGGAGTTGTAAGATAAAATAAGCCCTATCTTCCTTAAGCTTCTTTTGGTCATGGTGTTTTAACCACAGCAATATAAGTCCTAACTAAGACACCTGGGAGGGAGAGAGAGAGGAATGGAAAGATAGGAAAAAAATAAGGAAGGAAAGAAGGAAGGAAGGGAGGGAGGGAGGGAGGGAGGGA